CGCACGGTGCTGTTCAGACCCTGCTGTCATAATTGTAGCGTAATTATTATTTATGCTGTCACACTCGATTATAAATCTCATATTTGCCAAAAGTCTTAAGGGCCATTTCAACCCCTTTGCGCCGGCTTTGTTCGCGTTTTGTGCTGCCATCAATAATCATATTTCGGAATTTGCATAATTTCATAATTCCAATACAATATCAATTGTCCGATCCAGTGATAAGCGACTACGTAGCAGAATTCCCGCCGAGAGAATCAATAAACGCTGGCCATATATCAAATATAAAGCCAGCTAAGCCATCGAAACGAGTTTTAGGTGAGAGGAACAACGAAAGCGTAATGAAGACATTACCGAAACACAATTAAACATAAGACATTTGTCAGGCGAAACCGAACCAACCACATATCAAAGACATCGAGAACTTCCAGATGCCATGAGAAATTAGCCAAACAAGTTTTATTGACTTTTCCTAACCCCCCAGCTGAATTTGTAATTTTCGCAAACGTTCGCAAGTTTTAATAAATATCAAAAAGGTAGAGGTGTTGGTCCAGCTGAGTGGAAATATTTTAATGACCTGTAAAAAAGTATATTATTGTGTATATAAGAAAAAATTAAAGTAACGATTTTTGTTATACTTTTAATAATAACAAAGACGTTAAGTCTTTTAACTCGCTTTACCTTAAATCAAATCAGTAAAGTCTATACACTTTTAAAATTAATATATAATTTCGAAAAAAAAGTGTTTTGAAAAATTTAAAAATATATTAATACAGGTATATTAAACTTTAAAATTTGTAATTTTAAACAAGGAAGGGCATATTAAATTTATTAATTAAACGTTCAAAAACGTTTTTACAAAAAATGGGACTTATTTAAAAACATGTCAAACTTACAATGGGAATTGTTATAAATAAGTGATCAGAAAAAAATGCGGCCATGAATCCCATTTGACTAATTCTTTAAAAAAATGGTAGTACAATGAAAATCCAGCACATTCGAAACAAGACTAGATAATAATAGTGCTTATGTCGAACAATTCTCAATTTACACCCATGTAAGATAGAAAATCTGTTGTGAACGATAAATATTTTCCGCCTCCAATTTTATGTAACGAAAAGTTGAGATCTTCCTGCCGTCGCCCGTCGCCGGTCATCAAAGCTATTTTTACTATATAATGAAACCTGAACAGTCATCGCAGATAATGAACACATCTCAGTCCAGGGCTCGATTCCGTTGTTATCCAACGCGATGTGATTCATTGGTTTATCTGAGGTATTATGCCTAAATCTGTGGCCCGTAAGCCATTAATTTACTAATTGTAATGTTGGCCATAAAATATTTAGCAGAATCCAGCTTAATCTTATCTTTGTGGACCAGGCCAGAAAGACCAGCTCGGCGTGTAGGATATCGAAAATGCAAATTCCTCACACATAATTACAATAACAATGATAACAAAACAAAATGCTAAGTCCGAGCTGTTAAATCAAAAATATGCAAATTACTTTTGAGAGTGAACACGAGTCCGAAAACTGAATCCGAACAAGTTCGGACGGAGTCTGGGGTCGATTTGATTGATATGTGCTGGTTATACAGTCATTTGGCCAAAATGATGCAATCAAAACTATGTAAATGCGAACGGGGCTCTTGACTTCTCTGACATTTGAGGCAGCCATATCAGCCATATAGCCGGAACCGTGCCGATCCGAAGGGGTTACCTAGGCACAATTTAGTAGCTAGCATTTCCGACAGTTTCTGCGTTTTTACGACATTGGGCAATTAAAATAAAGTTGAAAAGTCAAAAAGTCAGCGCAAAAATGTGCGTTACTTTTTATTGTGTTTTTTACCGATCGACCATTTTTTAGCCTCCTGAAATGGCGACCTTGAGGTGATTTCCCTGGAAATTTTGTCGTTTTTTTACGCAACTCACCCGCTGCAATTGACTTTTTTATATGAGGTCCTGGTTCTGGTTCAGGCCCACTGCCCAAGGTGAAGACATATGCCGAAAGCAACCGTTTTATCCCTTTTCCGCTTAAAAAATTGCGGACGGGTGGAAGGATGGGTGGTTCTGGGTGCTCTGCTTTGGCTCGGGTTATGGCCATCGGCTGCTCGACTTTTTATGGTTACGACCGTCTGACTTTATGACTCTCGCACGGCCCAAAACGCGCAGACGTGTTTCGAGGCAGGCCGAGTTTTTTAGGCCAATTCTTGTGGGTACCTAAGCCTGCGATTTCGTTACCTAATCGCGGGATCAGCTTACCTAAGCTGGAGATTATCCTAGGATCATAATTATGACGGCGGACGCGACACTCGGCTCGGTTTTTTTTATTATTTTTCAAAGATGCGAACGCGTTGCCGGGCGGCAAAAAACTTAAGCCGGGGATTAAACCGGATTAAAGTCACATTGTCCTTATTTTTTCCTCTCCTTTCGGACTAACTAATTACCCGGGAAATATTACCCATTTGCTTGTGCGGAAATTCGCGAAAACGCTTGAACAGCATTTTTTAAAAGAAATTTCGGCAACGCGTCTTTTTTATGGTGTGAGAAAATAGAAAAAACGGAGGGCAATAAAAACGAATCGATTAGAAAAAAGGTGGGTGGCTGAGGGAAAAAAGAGATGCAGAAATCGAAGGATGGTTCTAGTTACTTTTTGACTTTTTTACAAGCCTTTTGTCTGATTTCCACATTTTTACTTGGAAAACCTCTGCCTGATGCAACAAATGAAAGTCAAATGTGAAATCTTCTGGGAAGTCTCCTAACGATGTTTTTAAAAAGTGTACCTAAAACATAGTTTAGCATATCGCTTGAAATATTATACTTTATAATACGGCACACTTCGAAGTCGAAAAGTCAAGGTTCTTGTCTTTTGGTTAAACAACCCTTTCGGAACAAAGCAGATCCATAAAAGGGTTAAGCATATTGGTTAGAGGCATAAAGGGTTAAACAGGTAGCTCCTAACTTCCTTTTGGCTCTGAGTAAACAACAATAAATATTCATAAAAAGAGTTAAGTGCCGCCATAAGGCCCTTAGTTTGGACAAAGGGGAAATGAAATTGGAAATTGACTTTTGAAAGGGTTGAAATTAAATACGATTAATATTGGTGTTTTATTGACAAGAATGACGTTAAAAGAGATGCTGTATATTTTTGGGAATACTTACAAAACGTAAGAATTTTTAAATACTTAAAGAAAAGAAAACAATGTGGTTTTGTATTTATACTACTACTATAATGCTACCATTCCAATTGAAGCTTATAGAACGTGATTGGAAATTATTGGCCAACATGTCTTAAGGTATATGCAAATATTGGGTAAATCAAATTAGGTATGATAAATGCTTTAAGTATTCTAGAAGATGTTGGGTAAATCTACTTAGATCATATATGAATCATTGCGTATCCGGCTAATAATTTTATTTAAAAGCGATTTTTAGTGATCTGGGAAATCATTTTTAAAAACGGACCTAACATTTTATGAGTATAAGGTAGGTGTTTATTGGCTAATTAGTTTTTATATTGCTACATTAATAGAATTATTGAAGAATTATAGTAGGGAGAGGTATGAATCATAGTGAAACTAACCGAGTACAAATCGATTTTAAATTCCAAAGTCAGGTACTTCAAATTTTTGAAAACCCCAGGTCATCTAAAAACCGACGGTTTTTTAGCAGAGAACCCCAAGCGAATTAACCTCCAACCATTTCGATTTCCAGCGTCCAAAAAGGCTCCGCCCATGCCAAATAAAATGAGCCACTGTTAAAAATGAAGTCAATAGCTGGAGGTGGTGTGTGTGTTGCTCGAGTGAGTGAGAAATCCAGCCGCCCTTAGTTTCTTTAATAAATAACCGAATAACGAATAATATCAGGGCAATGCAAATCGCCGGATTACAGGGCACTCAAATCCGAGAGAGAGAGCTGTGAATTGAGTGAGTGTTTTTTCATTGACTAACAGAGGGCTAACATTCTGCTAACATTTCACTCGAGGGGAGTTTTGAGTCGGCTGTGTGCGCATGTGTGCGTACTTGATCGCTCTCTCACTCGATCCGAGTTGCAAAGGTGGTGGTTTCAGCCGTGATTTATCAGAGAGCTGGGGCTGAAAACTGGTAAATCTACTTTGGTGTGAGTGCGGGTACATAAGCCAAAGAGTTCGGCCAGTAGGCGAAACACAGAAACGCTTCTTGCCAGTCGAACCTCTCAGCAAGAAATCAGTCGTCAGCTAGTAGCCGAAGTGTCAGTTACACACATCGAGAGTTCCCAAACCGCGTTGCGTCGGAGATAGATCAGATCCCATATCAAACCACATCTCATACGTATCCAAAAACTAAATCATAGTGTCGAAAACCTAAAAACATAGACTGATCTGAAAGTGCTTGCGAAAACCGCCGAAAACACAAACTGCCAAAGTGAGAAAACGTGCAGCAGCCACGATCGCGAATCGCTGCAATTAAAAAGTCGTCATAAACCCAGTGCCCAGCCAAAAAAAGAACAAGAAGGTAAGTTCTGAGCGAGAGAGACAGCCTCCTGAGATCGAAGTCAATTCACGGTTTTTGTTTTTGGGTCGCGGCCGTCGGCGAAGTTTACGATCCCTTGTGCACTACTTTGATTTTTTACTGTTTCTCGCGAAAAACTCGCTGCCAAAATTCCATCTTTCCCTATTTTTTTGCGGCCCGAGGGCCCGGAAAAAAATCACAATTTTCATAAACCGAATTTTCTATTTTTTGTTTGACTCGGGAAATATTGCCATGAGTTTTTATGACCGAACGTCAAGGTCTGGACTGCTGCATTTTTTTAGGGAACACTATTTTCGCAGCACTCGTAATGACTTCGTATAAAAAAGAAAATTTACCTGAGTTTTATGACTGGACAGCGCGAAAAAAATGAAAATGAACGCATAGGGTTGCATAATCCGGCAGCTTAAGTTTTTTGGCCTGTTGTGATCATAAAAAACGCCCATCCTGCCGAGTTTTTCACAGTTTCCTATAAATATCCTGGGCAGCATAGAGTTCAGCATCAGTTGCTCAGCAGCATTCCAAACGAACAGATCACACAGGGTCCTCACAGCGATCGTGAGAAAATCATACAATATTCCGACAAAAATCAGTACGACAACATGGTGTTCAACTTGGTTAGTTTCCAGGCCCGATTGCCTCATTGTGGATTAAATACCCCTCGACCAGCGGATTAAACCCTTACTAACTTGGGATTTCTTCATTACTTTTCAGATGAACCAGACATGCAAAGTGTGCGGCGAGCCGGCGGCGGGCTTCCATTTTGGCGCCTTCACCTGCGAGGGCTGCAAGGTAAGTTGTGTCCTAAAATCCATTGAGAAATAATTGTGAAAAGATGGGACAGGCATTCCCAAGACCCCAAGGGGTTAAGGGAAGTCCTCGACCGAAAAATGCATTCAAGAATATTGGAATTAGGTAGTGAAAATTTGATTGAGCATTTTTGTTTAACAAGTAAAATATTTGATGACTCTTAAAACTTTATAAATAACTGGTGCATAATGTTAATCATCAAAATGATTAAAATTGAAAACATTCAATTAAAAAAGTTGTATGACATGTATTTGATACTTTCAATTCTCTTTAATTAAATTCTGGTCTTTTGCCTGGAGTTTCTTGAATGAATTTCTGCTTTTTCTGTAACTAGCCTCTTGCAATTTAACCACTTAACTAACCCACATTTTTCCCTTACCTTTGCAGTCCTTCTTCGGCCGATCGTATAACAACATCAGCACCATCAGCGAGTGCAAGAACGAGGGCAAGTGCATCATCGACAAGAAGAACCGCACCACCTGCAAGGCGTGCCGCTTGAGGAAGTGCTACAACGTGGGCATGTCCAAGGGAGGATCCCGCTACGGCCGTCGCTCCAACTGGTTCAAGATCCACTGCCTGTTGCAGGAGCACGAGCAGGCGGCAGCGGCGGCGGGCAAGGCGCCACCCACAGCGGGTGGTGTGTCGGTGGGTGGTGGCCCGTCGGCCTCCTCGCCAGTCGGTTCGCCACACACCCCCGGATACGGGGACATGGCCGCCCATCTGCACCATCACCATCAGCAGCAGCAGCAGCAGCAGGTGCCGCGCCACCCACACATGCCCCTGTTGGGCTATCCCAGCTACTTGCCCGATCCTGCCGCCGCCCTGCCCTTCTTCAGCATGATGGGGGGCGTGGCCCCGCACCAGTCGCCCTTCCAGCTGCCCCCGCACCTCCTCTTCCCCGGCTACCATGCCAGTGCGGCTGCTGCAGCGGCCTCGGCCGCGGATGCCGCCTACCGCCAGGAGATGTACAAGCACCGCCAGAGCGTGGACTCCGTGGAGTCGCAGAACCGCTTCAGTCCCGCCAGCCAAACGCCGGTGGTGCAGCCCACCTCCTCGGCCCGCCAGTCGCCCATCGACGTCTGCCTGGAGGAGGATGTCCAGTCGGTCCATAGCCACCAGTCGTCCGGCAGCCTCCTGCATCCCATTGCCATCCGAGCCACGCCCACCACGCCGACCAGCAGCCCCCTGAGTTTTGCGGCCAAGATGCAGAGCTTGTCGCCGGTGTCGGTGTGCTCCATTGGTGGCGAGACCAGCAGCGCTGCTCCAGTGCACCCCACCTCAGCCACCGCCCAAGAAGGACCCATGGACCTGAGCATGAAGACCTCGCGCAGTTCGGTGCACAGCTTCAACGACAGCGGCTCCGAGGATCAGGAGCTGGAGGTGGCCCCCGGCGCAAGTTCTACCAGCTGGAGGCCGAGTGCCTGACCACCAGCAGCAGCAGTTCCTCCCACTCCGCCCACAACGCCGCCAACGCCCATGCGGAGGTCAAGCGCCAGAAGCTGGGTGGTGCGGAGGCCACCCACTTCGGGGGCTTCGCGGTGGCCCACAATGCGGCCAGTGCCATGAGGGGCATTTTCGTGTGTGTCTAAGTACACGGCGAAAAATGTCGAGTGGGAGGAGCCGCCCCGAAAACCCTCGTTTTTTTTTTTTGTTACTTAAAAGAAAATGTAAATTTTTGCTCGTGTGCTCGCTCACACTTTGAGGAGGTGAAAGAGACAGGGACAGACAGGTTTCGCTGGAAAGAGACAGCTAGACCAGGTAGTTGCATTGCACTCGCACTCGCACACTTGCATACACACACCAACACGCACACACACACACACTCACCTATTGAGCTCAGATCCAAAAATTATTTTTATGAAAACGTTAAAATTGTAAATATATCTTTGAGCTTGTTTGCAATTGTATTTTAAAGATAGCCAGCGGAAGAGCTGTAGAAGTAGTTACCATTCCCACCCTCGAAATGCTATTGTACATAAAAATTGTTAAGTCTAAGCATGATCTTTATTGTGTCTAAGTATTTTATTATATTTAAGTCCTAGTTACCGTACGTCCTTAGATTGGCTTTTAGTTTTATAAAATGAAAAATAAAAACTATCAAAAATTAATCTGATGTGGTTTTAAATATTTTGGGAGTATACTGATGAAGATTTTGGTGCTGATGGTTTGAAATACACATATATAAATCAATTTAATACAATGCTTTAACCTCTAAAAAAATGCATATGTATTTTTGAACAGATTTTACACATTTATAATAGAGAGAACTACGATTTTGTTTACTCTATTAGTCATTTATAATATTCGGCTTGAAGCTCATTAATGCCACAACTTGGTTTTCACTTTCAGAATTTATTTTTGCAGTGACTTCTACGAATAATATCACGGGATTATTTAAAAATGTAAAAGTTAAACCTAAAACAACCACTTAAAAACCTCTCAGGATTTCTAAAAGGTAATAATTCTAAAACATCTCAGAGTCGTCGAACTTTTCTGAATATAATTTTCTAGTTAAATGCATAATTATGGACTTTATGCACGGTTGAAACTATCTTTCGGATGTATCTACTAGCTGTCAACAAAGTTCGTCGACTACCGCACATTCCTATAGGATCAAAGGCAATAAATTATTTACGTATTCTGCTACCACTCTTGTTTCAAAATCAGTTCTGTTCGGACACATATATCTGATCGGCGGTGCCTTTTTGCCTCGATTTTCGTTAACCACGGGCCAAATGGGCGTGGCCTGTCAATAGCAACACCAAACAGAGACGGAAAACAAATGCTTTGGCACAATTTCAATCAACATTCGGTTGCAAGTCGATCGGCGATGGCCGATGGCCGATAATAAAACCGATATAGCAGCCGTTAAGTGCTTTTTGTGCCTGCCCATTGCAGTCGCGATTGCTGTATAGTTGTGTAGTAAATTAAAAATGCCACAAATGTTACGCACAGATATTCGATGTTGGGCCCCTCTAAGCTCCCTGTTTTATATGCTGCGGTCATGAGCATTAGGCCTATGCCTATGCCTGTGCCTATGCCTCCGATATGGGCCGACTCGATATCTCCGACCGATTCTGCCTGGCAGTGCGACCACGTGCTGCTTCAAATAATAAACTTTATATTAACACATACAAAAGTCATACGCCCCGTTGATGGCCAGAATTTTAATCACTTAATTAGGCGGCTGACTGGCCGATCGGGCCGAACTTTGTTTATGGCCCGACGGCCTGACTGCTTTATCCACCCGATGATGAATGGGACAGTGGGCCGTGGCACGAGAACTATGCAGGATCCCCGTCCCGCCTTGGATGCAAAATATCGTAATGCTCGACATTGCTTGTGTCAAAAAAAAATACCCGTGAGGCGTCAACGGCAATAAACAATCCAGGTGGGATTGGATCGTAGCGTAGTATTATAGAGAGATGAGCGGACAGCATATCATCAATATGCATGATGGAGCCCGAATATGGGGTAAAAGGGGAGCAGGGACGCACGCCATTGTGCCGCTGACGATCGCATTCCGACGTGTGTTTTGTCGTCATTGTTTCTAAATTTATTTTTATAGTTTATTAAAGAGTCATAGTAAAATGAGCCACACAAAATAAAATACAATAAACTCAGGCCGTGGAAGTCAATACACTCTTAAGTAGGTTTCAAATAAAATTAAGACAAGAAATGCAAATTTTGAAGCTGAGTAAGTTGACAAGATGCCAGCCTATTGTAAACATAGATTGTTCTACATTTGCATCAAGATTTCCTTGAGCTAAGTTAGGCACTACTAAACTAACAGATTTACAGACACGATATGTTGCACAAATCAAGTTCGTTTCTTAAGTCTTTTGTTTGACTTTTGATAAACTTAATGTCGCAAGTTCAACTCACTCCCAAAACTGATTAAAGCACACACCCTCAAGAAACCCAAAGCCCACAGACAATTCGAACGACTTTTAACCCGATTTCAGGGTATATCGATATCATTCGTCAAGTTCGTTGGCCAAGTCTTTCGTTTGTTTTTTCTGGGTTCACCTGGCTGTCAAACTGAAAAAGTGGTTCATTTGTCTCATCATTCCAATCTCTCCAATCAAAAAGCCATTTAGACAACAAAGAGGAGAAGAATGAGACAAACGGAGGGAAATAAAATCGATTCAGCATAAAAATGGACCAAAAGTATAACATTTCAAAATTTTATTGACTGTCAAAATGCAGGCGCCAATCGAAATGCAGACAAGCGGGCTAGATCAAGTTACCTGGCGCCAACAGCGACTTTCCAGGTGCTTTTCGACCCCACGTGTGTGTGCTTGCCGGGTGATCTATGATAGATGCCTTACTAATAGAGTTCGGGGAGATATAGACAAAGACTCTGACTTTAACTGCGACTCGGGCTGAGCACATCTTTAAAAATAGTTCAAGACAAGCACCTGCACATGCTTTTTTGTACGGGTATTCGCATTTAATTATTTATCACCGTTCGCAATGCTAATGTTCCATCAGTTAAAGCTTTCAAATTAATGCATGCAAGACATATATAATACGCGCGCCGTAAGAACATGTTTATTAAATTAAATAATTGCAGCCGGAGTGTGGAGTGGCATCGCGCTAAAAAAATAATTCCCAATTTGCATTCGATGCTGACAATGGAATTGAAGAAACAATATAGAAAAAATCGCAAATATTATTGACACATTATAGTGGAAACATGTTCTAATGAGAAATTATGCAAAGATTTGCATACAATTTTGTTAAAGGCAAGTCAGCAATCTTAACAGAGTCAATGCCTCGGCTGCTTTTGCGTCCGGTAGCGGCCTTAATTACTGTCGAGATTCTCTAGAGGGTAAGGGGCGTGTTCCCAGAGTCGCAACTCGCTGACAAATAGTCAAAACAAACTATGACATACCGCATCATATTTATATCTTCAGCTGCCAGCAGTTGGACTGAAGAGCGGAGATCATTAACTTTCAAGGAGTCGAGGATTGAGGAAGCAATGCTGAATCTTATAAAACAAGGGTGCTGATGCTCAAGCATATTTTCAAATTATCTCGGTATTTCAATGGTTTATAATGTTGTACTTATTTTATAGAGTAAGCATTTAAATCGCAACAAAAAAGGTTTTTTTTTAATCCACAATCTTATGATAACCTATTTGTGTTGATAAATTGAAATTTGTATGTACATTTAATTATAATTAGTTTTTACCCTTTAAATAATATTACTTATCACAGTAGTGCTTTTTCTTCTAACTTAAAACATTGATACATTGAAACATATATATCAAACTATAGATTTAATTAAGTCCCATTTATAAGCTAAAAATTAAAGACGGTCTTTTTTTTATTTGTTTTTTTTTATCGATTTCAATTTATTAATTTCATTTTTGTGCTTTACCAGCACAAAAAAGAGATAGATGTATTTAATGAACTGCGATATGTTGCACTTTCCAGTTGACCCCAGCGATGAACTCTCTCTCTTCGCAACCATATTGCGACTGCATTTCAGTGCTAACCCCCGATCCGATCGGATGACGGACAGTTCCATTGTTCTTCCACCCAGCAAGACATTAACCCACTTAATGCAGCCCGAGAGAACGCAGAATCCGAGTTGGCCAAATCGCATTGCACATTACCAATCGGAGGCTCATCTTTATTGATTCCGATTCCGCCGCCACCACCTTTAACCCCCGCGTGCAAGGCAGTCGGATCGAATGGAAAAACAAACTTGAGCTTTGGGGGCGCTTGGCTCACACGAGATCGGATTTGGCCGAAAGGGATTCCTGCCCTGGAGTTGGGCTTAGCTGGCGCTGGTAATTAGTGATCTGGTGCACTTGATATGCACCTTAATTTAAACATTTCGTACACACCCAGCCGGGGCACGCATTCTGTTTTTTCCCTTATGTATTTTGCCTTGCCACTCGGGGCCCTTCTTCTGATTCCTCGGGGTCTCTCATCTGGTCCTCGGACAAGTTCTGCGTGTAGCGCATGCCGTTCGCTTGTTTCTGGCCCATTCCCAGTCTCATTCTCATTTTTATTCAGCTGCCTTTGGTTTTGGGTTTGCTTTTGCCTGCTGCCATTGCCATTGCCATTCCCTTCGCGCGCCGTGTTCTCGTTTAAACGTTTATTTAACTTAAAGCGAACTTTGCGTGTCGATTAAAGTGCTGCGATTAAGGTACGACCTGATCCGGTCTTCTGGTATCTGTTTCGTTTTTTTCGGATTTCTGGTGACCACTTGTTTCAGGGTATATTGAATGGAGGGGACTAACGATCCTGGGGAGGACATTAATGTGGACTTTATTATCGGTGTTATGGCTTAAAAATGTTTTTTATTGGGCTCCTCTTCATATCATAGAAAAGGGTTTAACGTATATGGGCCAATTTTAATAAATATAAAGTCGCTATATAAAATCACTAAAAATATACTCGAAAATATGCTGTAAGACAAGCGGATACTTGATACAATGAATGAAAAAAAAAACAATATATATATTAATTCTAAACAATGAAGTCGGCAGAAAGTGGCTATGGCCGCTAAACCCCCTGTTACTTCAGTTTATAACTTTAAACTTACAGTTTTTAAATAAATAAATATATATATATTGTTCATAAATTTATTGGTTCGTTAAATCCATTCATTAATAGTTTGGCAAGCCCCTAATTAATTGATCAATTATGTTATTTATAGGGTACCTACTTCGACCATCAATTGCAATTTAGGCATTCCTTTGCAGGTCTTTCAAATGATTCCTCTGCTTTTCGAGGCGCATGCGTGTCCAGTGAACTTACAGGTCAAGCATACGCATGCCAACGATAAGTTGAGGTTGCTCCACCACCACCATTATCATCATCATCGTGCCCAGTGCCGTGATAATGATGGAAACGGGGAAGAGGATCATCATCGGTTTGACCTAACCCAGACACTGTTACAGCTGCATAAATCCTTTCGTGGACTTTCTCTCTGGGGCCTGCTTCTTTACGACAAATTTGCCCATTGTTCTGTTTTGGCCGCCTGATGATGTCCTTTTGTCTTCGTTTACGGTGTGTTTGGCCCCCGACAGCGTGCCTCTCCACCAACAAGGTCCAATGTCCACCGAGGACCGAAACCGACGACCGAACTC